CTTTTGTTGAAAATAGTAGTTTTTTATATTGTAAAAACGAACTTTCGTTGCCATTTTCTACAAAATTAACGATACCGGCTTGTGTTTCGGTAAATGTTTTGGTCTATTATCAACATATTTAAAAAATTTAAAAAATACTATAAGATGACAGACATATTCAATTAAAAAACCCTGGGTTTATTTTTTAACAAAATGTCACTAATAGTCGTAAAAAAAATAAAAACTGATGCACATTTTTTCGCATATTTTGGTAATATGGATGAATCATAATGTATTGCAATAAGGGCTATTTTATTGTTGGTGCCTGCTTTGATTTATTGTACAAAGATTTCGATGAAACCACAGTCCGCGCTCGGCCGCCGTCGTGAGTGGACACTGTATCGCCTGTTTGCAGCGGCTCATTCTGAAAAGATCGCTGTACATACACAAAATATTAGAAAAAAACAAATTGGAAACATAGGTACTTGACAAGTGATAAAATTATTATTTTTATACTCACAGTTTTTATTTAGCTAAAAATAAGTAGGATATATAAACTTACCTACTACTGCAACTCGTGGACGAGCGGAACTAGGTGTGCCGAGTTTGGGCTCGTTTTGTTGGTTATGATGAGACCTTACCTCTGGACTTGATGGCATGACCTGAAGGTGTACTTTCGTGACCGCTATTTGAACTTCTTGCAGAGTAAAACTAGGGGTGACGAATTTGGGCTCCGTTTTGTTAGTTATGACGAGTCTATACCTCTGGACTTGATGGAGTGACCTGAAGGTCTAAATCGGTGATTGCAACTGGAACTCCTAGACTGGTAGAACTAGGTGTGCCGAGTTTGGGTTCGTTTTGTTAGTTACGATGAGACCTTACCACCGGACTTGATAGAGTGACCTGAAGGGGTAATTCAGTAACTACTGCTGGAATTTCTGAACGAGTAGAACTAGGTGTGCCGAATTTGGGCTTCGTTTTGTTAGTTATGACGAGTCCATACCTCCGGACTTGATGGAGTGACCTGAAGGTGTAGTTCAGTGATTACAAGTGGAACTCCTAGACTTGTAGAACTAGGTGTGCCGAGTTTGGGTTCGTTTTGTTAGTTACGATGAGACCTTACCACCGGACTTGATTGAGTGACCTGAAGGTGTAATCAGGTGGTTACAAATGGAATTCCTAGACTAGTAGAACTAGGTGTGACGAGTTTGGTTTCGTTTTGTTAGTTACGATAAGACCTTACCACCGGACTTGATGGAGTGAAATTCGGCACACCTAGTTCTACTGGTTCAGAAATTCCAGCAGTAGTTACTGAATTACCCCTTCAGGTCACTCCATCAAGTCTGGTGGTAAGGTCTCATCATAACTAACAAAACGAACCCAAACTCGGCACACCTAGTCCTACAAGTCTAGAAGTTCCACTTGTAATCACCGAACTATACCTTCAGGTCACTCCATCATGTCCGGTGGTAAGGTCTCATCATAACCTACAAAACGAACCCAAACTCGGCACACCTAGTTCCACCAGTCTAGGAGTTCCAGTTGCAATCACCGATTTACACCTTCAGGTCACTCCATCAAGTCCGGAGGTATGGACTCGTCATAACTAACAAAACGGAGCCCAAATTCGGCACACCTAGTTCTACTCGTTCAGAAATTCCAGCAGTAGTTACTGAATTACCCCTTCAGGTCACTCCATCAAGTCTGGTGGTAAGGTCTCATCATAACTAACAAAACGAACCCAAACTCGGCACACCTAGTTCTACTAGTCTAGGAGTTCCACTTGTAATCACCGAATTACACCTTCAGGTCACTCCATCAAGTCCGGTGGTAAGGTCTCATCATAACCAACAAAACGAACCCAAACTCGGCACACCTAGTTCCACTAGTCTAGGAGTTCCTATTGTTGTAATCACCAAATTACACCTTCAGGTCACTCCATCAAGTCCGCAGGTAGGTAAGGTCTTATTATAACTGACAAAACCAGTTCAAAGTCCAGAGCTAACATCTCACTACCAGTAGAGGGCTTCCAGTGCCAAGCAGTCTTTGGAGCAGGTATTCATATTTCGTATCGAAGTATATTTCTGAGGTAGGTATAAGAAATGAAAAACAAATTCAATCTTTCAAATTATCAAAATAATTTCATTTGACTACGATTCCCACAGCCAACCGTGCGTACACTAGTGTGTGTGTGACTTTTGTCAATGTAGTAGTGCGATTCTATACCTATCCATTTTGTAAACGCGTCCTTAAGTAAAAGAAGGTACATTATGTAAATTACAAATATGGTACATGTATATGGTAAAAGTATTGTAATTACAACCATAGGGCGGAGACCTGGTGGCCTGAAATACAGGCGTAAAGCCTAGCTTAGGCACCAGTCTCCCACAGTATAACATTAAGGTGTAATATTCTAATATTATGTACAATAATTCTGTAATATTGTAGTGAGAAAATAAATCATTTGTTATTATTATTATGTGGGGGTATCAATATAGTTTTCTCATCTGGTTGGGTTCTATAAATATATAATTATAAATGGAAATGAAAAGATAAATATACATAAATAGCAATAACATAAAATAAATATAAAAATACATATATAAATAAAAGCCCTACCAGATGGAGGCCCTCGGCAAGGGAGACCAAACGGCCGAGGGTTAGGGGGAAAGGGAAAGAAACCGGCGGACGATGCGGGCGGTATCGAGGAGCACCGCCTTCTGCATTTGAGCCTGGAGCGGTCCGCCACGTACTCCCAGCCGCCTCAGATGACCCGAGAGGCTGACTGGGATTAGCCCGTTTGCAGAGACGACTACAGGAATAATTTCGGTCGGCAGACCACCCCACATGTCGGTCACCTCGTGAGCCAGGTCCAGATATTTTATTTGCTTATCTGTTTCGGCTTTCACGAGGTTCTCGTCATACGGAATGGTAATGTCGACCAAAAATATCCTTGACTGTGCCCGGTCCATCAGCACAATATCAGGCTTATTCGCAAGAATTGTCCTGTCTGTGATGATGGCCCGGTCCCAATAGAGCCTGGCGCGATCATTTTCGAGCACGGCTTCCGGCAAGTACTTGTAATACGGCAATTTCCGATCCACGAAACCGTATTTCAGAGCGAGCTCCTGGTGTAGAATTCTGGCTACTAGGTTGTTCCTGTGCAAGTACTCAGAGTTAGAAAGCGCCGAACAACCGGAGATGACATGCCTAAGTGACTCACCGGGATGGCGACAAGCTCGACAGATGTCGATGGTGCCATCCTTTAGGATGTATCTCCGATAGTTGTTGGTCTTAATAACCTGATCCTGTATTGCACAGACAAAACCCTCGGTTTCCCCGAAGAGGTCACCAAAGCGTAGCCAGTGGAGGGAGGTTACTGTGTCTACGAAAGGCCCATGTAGAGACTTGTAGAACCTCCCGTGGAGCTCCTTCTCCTTCCGTACGGTCTCTCGGTCGGAAATTGTCTGCACTGCTGGGTCTTGCCATTGCTCGTTGGCTAAGGATAGAGGGGTAAGTCCTTTATCACAAGAAATGACGTCCTTGAATGGATCATCCGATCTCGCCAGGAAGTAATTACGGAGGCTGCACACTTCGCGATTATGCATGGTGAGCGCGCTCAAGAAGCCACGCCCACCATGCTTTCGCGGCAAGTACAGCCTCATTACCGACGATCTCGGATGATGCATCCTGTGGGACGTCATGGTAGTGCGGACTTTTCTATCCAGGGCGTTAAGTTCAGTCTGAGTCCACCTGAGTATGCCAAAGGTATACATGAGGACAGGCATGACCCAGCCGTTATATGCTTTTGTCTTATTCACACCGGACAAAAGGCTGTTAAGCACTTTGGTCAAGCGTGCATAAAACACGTCGCAAACTGACTGTTTCATACCAGCCTCATCGATACCGATGTTCTGTGACATACCCAGGTATCGGTATGTTTCAGCCTCGGAAATGGTCCTTAAGTTGACGGGCATAGATAAGTCTATGCCCTCAGAGTTAGCAACCCTACCCCTCTCAACATGGAGTACCGCACACTTATCCGTCCCCAGCTCCATTCAAATGGAATTGCTAAATTCACAAGTGATGTTTAGCAATTCCATAAGATGGGAGCGACTGGAGGCGAATAACTTGGGGTCATCCGTATAGAAAAGGTGGGTCACTTTTGTCCCTCCTTTCCGTAGCTGATATCCCCTCCCGGAGCCCTCCAGTAAGGTACTGAGAAGGTTCAGAGAGAGGCAGAACCATATTGGACTCAGACAATCGCCCTGGAAGATACCCCTTCTTATCCTTATGTGGTTCTCCGCAGCCATCATCCGCTCGCCCAGATGACAAAGGATCGTACTCCACTGCCCCATACACTGCTCGAGGAAGTCTCTAACTGCACAGTCTATCTTGTACAGTTCGAGGACTCTCTTTAGCCATGTATGGGGCACCGAGTCGAATGCCTTTCTGTAGTCTATCCAGGCGGCGGAGAAGTTCCGACGGTTGCGTTTCACCACTTTGCCAATGACCGTGTCAATGAGGAGTGGTTCCTTGGTTCCACGACCGCCGCCCCGACATCCATTTTGAGCGCGCGACATCACCTGACATGAGTCCAGGTGATGAGTGATTCTCGCGCTCAAAATGGATGTTAGTGTCTTGTATATGGTCGGTAGACATGTGATGGGGCGGTATTTGCTCGGGTCTGTGGTACCCTGGCCTTTAGGAACCAAATGGGTGATCCCAGTAGTGAAGAGGCTCGGAAGCGACTTCTGGTTGAGAACCTCTTGAAACTGTCACGCGAGCACAGTGTGACACACCGCGAACCCCTTCAGCCAGTAGTGATGCAGCCCGTCGAGTCCCGGACTTTTCCAGTTCGGGGCCCTACGGACCGCCTCAGCTACGTCATCCGGCGTTATGGTGACGGGGTCCATGGGCGTAATACCCGCACACTGACTCGCCACAACTTCCGTCCAAGGGCCCTCGTTGTGGTTTACGGGCTCTGACCACAGGCTGCGCCAGAATGCGACCGTGTCGGCCTAATTCGGTACTGGGCCCGTTTCACTTACCATTGGTCGCTCCAATGATTTATAGAGCCTCTTCTGATCACTCTGGAAGAGACGATTCTGGTTGAACCGTGTCGACCTCTCGGTATATCGCCGAATTCGCTTTCCCCAAGCAGCGATTCTCTGCTTCAGGTCGTCTATGCGCTCCGTCAGTTTTTGCTGCTGGCCTTGCGCGTCCCGGCTGGCTTCCAAATAGGTCACCAGCATTGGGTTCAGAGCCCTCACGACAGCCCGATTCTGCTTGCTTAGGGCTATGCGGGGAAGTCGCGGTCGATTTTCGAGAGGCATACTGCGCGTTTCCATAATCGCCTCTTCCAATGTACTCCTTATTTGCTCTATTTCTAGTTCCTGGGTGAATGTTCAATCATCATTTGAATCAGCAACCACTGGGGTATTCTCGGCGGCATCCACGTGTGCGGGTTGTTCTGCAACTTGTGGCACTGCACCCCCAGTCGTAGCGTTTTCATTTGATGAGGGAACAGCCTCAAGTCGTAGCCGTTCCGAGTTCGGCGCCATCAAATATATTTGAGCGTAAGATATACCGAACTCGGTCTGCCAGGTTTTGCTCGGTGACAGTAATAGATGGCTCCAGCTCAGTAAAAAGACGATGCATCCTAGCCCGATACGCGAAGCCTCCAATTTCTCCCCCTCCTAAAATACGCCCGCAATGCGTTTGTATTCATATTGATGGTCCATCGCATGCGGCGTACTCCACCAGTGGCGGATGCCGATTGCTGGGTCTGCGAAGACCCTGCCGACATCAAGCAAGCTGGTGGGGATGATGGATGCGAGGGGCTGCTGGGTGGTCGTGCAGCACCTCGCGCTCGGCTGGCGGTTCGCATGCTGTCGCGTCCAGCGCCAGCTCCAGACGCGCCCTGACGACCTCCAGGCAGCGGCCCTTTGCGCAATCTTCTGTGTTCCATCATCCATACAGGGCGTCATTTAACGGGAGACGCCCAGACCCGGCGCCGTTTCATGGTGAGGCCATATGCACAAGCGGGCCCTTGCACCATCAATTTTTGCCGAGGCACGGCGCTCACACCTCTTGGCAAGGTGCTGACTGACTGCGCGGACGTAGCGGTTTTGTCACATAACCGTCACGTCAGCGGGCGATGGGGTCGTCACTTCCCTACGCCATTTTATTATTATTATTATTATTTATTTGCCAGAATGTATGTGTACAATAAAGTATGATCTTAAATTATGTAAATGTATAATGGCCCATTTACATTCTACCACTTTATATGGTGTGCAAATATTTTATACGTATACATGCAAAAAAAAATTAAACACCAAGTGGGAATTCATTTTCGTACATTTATGATTAATTGATATCAATATCATGTCATTTAAGTAATAGGTTTTAAAATGTCACATTGTGTAATGATTGTTCTTAATTGTTAATGTCCATATAGCATGATGCTATTTTACAGGAGACACTTTTATAATAAGGTTTATAAAAAAGGTTTATGAAGCGAACGACATGTCTTTCTCAACCAGTCAAATCTATGTTTTCTTATCAAGCCTGTCAAGGATCAGAAATTTGTTAAATATTTCAAAAAATATCGAATTGAATTCCGGTATCGTTAATTTTAATATTTCACTATTCTATGAGTCCTATCTCAAAATAATCTATTCAACTGACTTCAAAGAAGGAGGAGGTTCCCAAATTCGACTGTATTTTTTATGTGTGTTACCCGAGAACTTTTTTCGAGGTGAATCGATTTTAATGATTTTTATTTGAAAGCTGGTGCATCTCATATGATCCCATATAAGTTTGATCAAGATTTGACTAGTAATTTTTGAGTTATCCTTAATAATGCGTATTTAATTGACTTCGACTACATTAATGAAGTTCTCATTTTATTTATATTGAAGTCAGTTGTACAATTTTTTTTTAATTTTACAACTAGTTTATAGCATATTATTAAATATACTTAGAACCTAGCAACATATCCACATGAATCCATATTTGGAAATCATCATTACTATTTTTCTGACTTTGAAATTTTATTCCAATTAATTTTATTCATCATCATCCTCATTCAATTAAAAAAAGCTACCTCTACACTAAGATTTTCTCTTGTATCGTGAGAAGTTTACATACACAAATTTCACAAGAGTAACTTGTAGTCCATACAAATACTAGTTTCCGCGGTTCACGGATTCGAACACGCGGCTGGCTGCACTACTGCTGAACTATGTTCCTCCTATAATCACTGCAATAAAACACAGATATAATCCACCTGCATTCGTCGAATCCTGCATGTCTTACCAGGTCTTCACTTAGTTTAGTGGAGAACATCCCACACTCCACTTACCAACATGGGGGTAATTTTTATTGATTAAATAAAAAACAATCTTAATAACTTATTACAATGCTAGAAACTGTTTCTTGGAAAATCGTACCTTACTACCTTCTTAATCTAAAACACCCGTACAGTGTAGTGCATTAATATTCAATTTTCTTTAACCTTCGACAACCAGTGAGAGTTTATATTGTAAAATAACCTATTTCTCAGTATTCGTTTCGGTATTCGGATGTTATATGTTTTTTTTTTTTTTAATGATAATCTTCAACATTAATCAAAAGTCTAAAATGTGTATATTCGCTCAGTCTGTCAACACAGCGAATCGGGTTTGTAGTAGTGATGATAATACACCATTATTGCTTGTATATGTGCTCCCGGCGACGCCGAACCTCGTACAAAATAAGTTTGACAGCCGTTCTATTGTGTATTATAGTATTCTATGAATATAAACAATTCATAGCTGAAAATCAGGCAAGATTTGTCAATCTATAAGCTGAGTTATGGAAGATTAAATAAAAGTTAAGTTATGTATTATCTACACTGTAACAGTTGATTTTTAATTATTAGTTAATGGAAATATTTACTTTTCAATATTTTTTACATGTTAGGCGGTGGTAGAAGATTCAAAGAAACAATTATATTTATAAACTCGCATACAGGTAGTATGCGAGTTTATAAATATAGGTAACGTATGAATACATGATACATATGAACCCAAAATGGAGGCTCACGTATACTTTGTTTGTAGTGGGTTGCTCAAATAACAACATTATCAATTATTTTATAAACTATACCAGTACTCGACACAAGCTTCCTTGTAATCCCAGTAGCACCAGTAGTAAATGAATAGTCAACAAAGCTGACATCACTTACTTTCGAGGACAATCAGGCAAGCAGGGTTTATATATTCTCACAAATGTCGTCTTATTCTTTAAAGCGAGTATCAATTTTTAATACGAAAATGAGGTAACTAGGAATTGAATCCGATACCTCTGACTTTGTTACCTTTTCGACACGCATTAATATGTCTCAAATATTAGGCTATAATATGAATTTAGTTTATATTACAAAGAAAAATAAAAATCTTTAAATAACCAACTAACAAAATTACCTTAAAAGCTTTTTTATTTCATTTTTTTGGATCCGAATAAAAATAACGATTAATCTGTTTTAAATAATTTCCTATTTTTTTTCTTAATCTAGATTGTTAAATAAGCAACGTTTTTGTATTTTACATTAGAAAAATATAGCCAAGTTTTTAAAGGTTATATCAACCTGTTAACTTTAAGCAAAAAGGTCCCATTCTCCTTTGACAATTTCCATAATAAGTCCCAAGATTAAAAATGAATTAAAAAAGTAATCAAACAAAGACCTCTTTACTTTCGCCCTGTAGGAAGTTTTGTAACATTTTGTAAATGCTCTGGAACGTGAAATAATAAGGAAAAGGGATCATCAAAGCCATTTGTCAGAATAAATACATGGTAAAATTTTCACAACGCAGAAGTTCAGGTTCAGTTTAGTCCGGTGTGCTGCTCCACTGCATATTGCCAGGCTTCAAATGTTCACAAATATTTCTCATACATGGAGACTGCTTCCAATGTTTCCAACGCAGCTAAGCTCATGGTAAATCATCACTTAAAATTGTATTGAAAATTTCATTAGTGCCGCGGGGATGGAAGACGGTTTGCTCGCGTGATATGAAATTTATTGCATGCGCTGTGCCCTTACGGCTCAAAGTTATCAACACGTATTAATACAGATATTGGCAAGTACACAAAATAACGTCTTGATTCAATAATTTATAAGGCATCTTAAATTAGCAGGACCCTGCCCCTCGCTCCCACGCCACACCAGACATGTTATTGAATCATCTAGTACTGAGCAAATGCCGAGCAAATGCTTATGTTTTGACTATTATAGTGAGAATAAAAGTATTTCGTTGTGTTATTCTTAGTAAAAATTGATAATTATATCATAGAAATCAGTGGCAGGAGATCTATTATTTGGATTTATTTTAGAGAAACTGATGACCAAAGTAAAGTAAAATGTACTAATGTAAGGTTTCTTTGTTTGATTCCAAAAATATTTTAGCAAGCTTTCTATTTGCTATACTAATTGAAAATAAATCTAGTGTCTTAAAAACATAACACTATATAATTAAATTTAACCCTTTAACCATCAACAGTAAAATTATGAAATAGATGGCATTAATCAATTCGTACATTTCAATACAGTGGACACTTTGAGACCACTTTAACGAATGTTCGGTGATTTAGCCCAATATTCGGTAAAGCTACCGAATATGCCGAGTACCGAATCATCATCATCATCATCATCATTACAGCCCTTCACAAGTCCACTGCTGAACATAGGCCTCCCCCAAGTAATGCCACAAAGCACGGTCCTGAGCCACCTGCATCCATCGACTTCCTGCATGTCTTACCAGGTCGTCACTCCATCTAGTGGGGGGTCGCCCTACACTACGCCTACCGGTACGAGGCTGCCACTCGAGAACCTTTCTTCCCCATCGGTTATCGGTTCTTCGAGCTATATGGCCGGCCCATTGCCACTTCAGCTTACTAATCCGTTGGGCTATGTCGGTCACTCTGGTTTTACTGCGGATATCCTCATTTCTGAGTCTATCACGCAGAGAAACTCCGAGCATAGCCCTCTCCATAGCTCGCTGAGCGACCTTAAGCGTCCTCATACGGCCAGCAGTGAAGGACCACGTCTCAGATCCGTAAGTCATCACTGGCAACACGCACTGGTTGTACAATCTAGTTTTTAGAGATTGAGGTATACCTGACGAAAAGATATGCCGTAATTTCCCGAACGCTGCCCAGCCGAGTTGAATCCGTCGATTGACCTCTCGGTCGAAGTTGGACTTACCTAGTCGGACTATTTGTCCCAGGTAAACGTATTCGTCAACAACTTCGAGCATAGTGCTCCCAACAACTACCGGCATAGGTGTGACATGGACATTGAACATGA